AACCACTCTTTTATATAGACTGCAACTAACTTCGGCATTGTAGGGTGATTAGAAAAACTTGAATATGGCGACCTGGTATGCGGAATCTCCTTATTATGTTTGGAATTGCTCTCAAATCGGCCTTGATTAATAAAACCTATCAAGAAAATTACTTTTGCAGTTTATTATTCCTAGTACTTTTCGGCAAACTGATTTAATTTCAAAATTCGTCGTAATCATGCTTTAATATTTAGCCATATTAACTGGCATGCAGATCTATTCTTCTGCGTACTTTACTACGTGATTGTTGTAGTTGTTACTTCAGTTACAATTAAAGTATTCATACCAAGCCTGCGCATCAAAAAGGACATTTCAGGGTGTCTGACTCTGACTTCCGGCCTGCGAAAACAGTTTATATTTCAGACCGCATAAAGAGGTCCTATTAGTGCAGGAAAACTGTACGTACGTGTATCATAACGCAAGAAAAAATAGCAGCGCAGTACTTTTGCAAATGATGTGTTAACTGCAGTTTAAAGTTTGACTTTGCAAGGTCTTGTCGTGTTTGGAAATATAGTTTTAACTTTGAGTAACTGCCCTCTATTCATGGACAATTTGGGTGAAAATGAAGATCGCGTGGATACTATGGAACAAATCATGTCGCCAGGGCAATCACGCAGCTATCCAAAGGCTTTTGAACGTGTAAGGTTTATATACCTCCTTTTTGAACAACGCTTATTAGGGGGCCTTACTCATAATAAGACAGTTTGCCTTCAGATGGGCCCTTTCATTTTCTGGTTTCACACACCTACTAAATACAAAGTAAAATTATAGACAGTTTACATGTTCAAATTTCTATATCCCAATTGCTGAAATCGGAAAAGCATTTATAAGTGGCCACATGTTCCTATAGCCACCCGATGGATATGAATTGCAATTTTTAAACTGACTGTGACGTACCACCCTCTTTGTTGATCTCAAAGCCACAACCTTCGAATTTTTGGATAAAACCATCAAGCCCACCTAAAATATAAAAACAGGATGGTAAGTCGAGCTGTTCCACTAGTTTGACTCAGTTTGTGAAATGAAACATATGCAACATATGCAGAAAGTGCATCAAATTGCTGACCATTTAACTTTGCTCATATGATAGGGCGCGCTGGGAACTTTTTAAGTGACCTACACATTTGTGGATTATTCTCCTTCTATATAATAATTCCTTAGACAACATGGCATTCGTTTGGTTACTTATGTTCAAGCGTGTTTCGGCGTAAACTCGCCCCGAACTCAAGGTTAGGAAATCACATGGCCCCGTCCGTGTGTGGAAAATGAGCCTCATTGAATAGAGGCCTCAGAGAATAGAAGGCAAAAGTTCAATTTAGGTCAACCTATCCTTAAACTTAACCGATAACACTAGGGTTAGTGTGACCTAAATTTAACTTTTATCGGATAAAACTCTTCTGTTCTGTTTTGTTCTGTGAAGCAGAAGTGGCCTTTTTACCGGATAAGAACAGCTACAGAAAATCACTCCTAACAAAGGACTGCAGAAAACTTACACACAATGGTGCTGCATTAGTTATTGGTAGACATGAACCGCGTGATTGCTGCTGTTATTTTTTGGATAAACCTGAACCGTCTAGTGACATCAAGGACTATTCGATGTCCTAATTACACGCTAGGCTAAATGTTTTGCAGTTTTTTGTTTAATTTTTCGTTTCGCTTTCTCTTATTAGGTTTTTTCTTACCTCGAGGTTTAATAATATGCATTTTGTTACATTTAGATGCAGCTAAACACATGAATTCTAACTCAAATTTTTAAAGCACAGTCTATGTCAAAGAATGGATGATATACGAACTTACATTCCTTGCATTTGAGGTAAATGCTCTCACAGCCTATTAGCGTGTACGCCAATGCGGCTAGGAGAAGTACGTGCAGTACACAGAGAAAAATGTAGGCAATTCTGTGATGACAGCCCATCCTGGAACTGCTGTGCAGATTAACACACGCGACTCATTGAGTGCGCATCTGCCAAGAAACGCAGTATATACGTAAGGAGGATGCTACCTTTCCGCCAATCACCTGAAGGGTTTTCCTGACCTTCAAGACCCTTTTCGAAATGAAACGTCCAATCAGAAAAAAGCGTAGAGCTTAGGTGATAGACAGCTTTTAACAGTACTCATGTTGCGTGTACTCAGTTTCAAAAGGTTGTTGATGGTTTCTGAAGAACCCGTTTTCAAGCTTAATCAGTCCTTTTTAGTCATCAAAGCTACTGAGACTTTGCAAAAACCTATCAAGTTTCTGAATCGTGGGAACTAACGTGTTCATGATCACGTGATTTTTCCAACTGACAGTCCTTTGTCTGTCATGAAACAGCCCTAAATTAGGGTACTTTTCCTTATCTTCTGAGCCCATCGACGATAAACATGCGTGCATGCCCAGGTACAATAGAGCCGATTCATTCGGTGAAAGCGAAAATGAATTCAGATATGGAAAATACGCGCTCTTCCTTTTCTCACTAATACAGGTTTCTACTATTCGACTGTAGCCCCTGCTCCCTAACACTCTTCACCACAACTATGGTCTCTTAGCTGCAGAAAAACCATTTGTAAGTTTGACTGACATACTTAATGACTTATGTGAATATACAGGAAAGGTTGAATAATTTTCTACAGGCAAATGCTTTGGCAGGGCTGCTCTTGTTCTCTAGGTACTTATGCCATGCCCGCTTCCTGTCCACTTGACCAAACAGCATTCACGAACAGATATTGCAGCGGACGGCGTGATTTTTTGATATTATCTCCCACTCACCCAAACGCTCTCAGCGACTTTGAGGTGACCGAATTCAAGGAGCAGTATATCCCTGATGATTTACTTTTTCTACATAAAAGGTCATTAAAGTTAAATTTGTTCCTCATAGCACCACAACGAACCAACATGACTGGCTACAAGTGCGGGGCGACAGTTCGCCTGTCGTTTTAGACGAGGTCTACAGTGTGCCTCAGCAAGCTGAAGGCAGACGCGGTAACTTACGCGTGGATTAGTTTTAAATGGTAATATACTTGCGCTGCATGTATCAACCTCTATCCCCCTACCTCACCTGAGCACAGTATCAACACAAAGTCAAGAAAACCGGAAATTGGACATGACGCAGATGGCTGGCGCAGTCGGATCCGCCCCTTAGCGTGCCGTCACACCTCTATCTGACCGCACGAAGCGGAAGTGCTATAAGCGCCAAACTAGGAGGGTATCATCGCAGCCTGAATTCCAGTCCACCAGTCAGTCACTACGCACCAACGTACACATAGCTGACCGTGCGTTCCGAGTCATCCCGTCGTTTTGCAACATTTTTAGTCACGACTTTTAGTGCACCGTGATAGATTCAAGCGCGCCAAACAGTTCAATGTGAAGAAGGTACGCTGAACCCTCGACCTCGTTCTCCCTACGCCCCCAACATCAGGCCACCGTCCGAGCTGATCAGTTGGCTGATGCCAGGTGGACGCTGTGTCTATCGGGGTCGGTAAACCTGTCTGCGTGCGCCATAGCCCCCTTGATAAAATATAAAGATTGACAAAAACCGCACAGTCAGCTGCTTAACACGTAACGCATACTAGGTTCGTGGCGTGGTCTGGTATAAAGAGTCAGAACGCAGTCTCTCAAACCATTATTTTTCTTAAACCATGGTATTCTTAGGCACAAATCACGCATGCAGCGACGGAGCCACATGGAAAAGGGGCCAAAGAGTGGGTAATGATTACAAACTCTAGGTAGGTGGTATTTGACGTGACCAGGTTTGATGTAGATGCTTGTGAGCGAGGGTTGGCACGGTGTAATAACCGGCGACCATCCATCGCAAGTTTTCATTGTAGCGCATTTGGCCTAAAAGGCCCATATGCTGAATGAATGTGCGTGGACAGCGTGAAACCTCTTTACTGAACTTTCCACGATCGCTATCAGAACCCAGTCGTCCCGCTATGCCTTGGGCTCATTCTCGAGCCCCGCCAGCTACCGCACACTATGTAGTGATCAAGGTAGGCAGCATTACCGGCAAAAACAAGAGAGACTGGAATGGCCATTTCTGGCTTATTAGTCATTATCAGCCAGTCTTACCCGACACCAAGTGGTGTACCAACCACCCCTCGACACGTGACCTTTTTCTTAGAAGTCGAACACCGTAACCATTAAGCCTAGACTACTAGCCACTGTGTTTTCGGCGTTAGTCTTCTGATCCAGAGGTTGATATTTCAAGCCTCGGGCGGCGCACCACTTGGGGTTGGGTATGACTGGCTGATAACGACCAATGAGCCAGAAATGGCCAATCCATTCTCTCTTTTGTTTGACGGCAGTTCTATCTGCCTACATTGTGGATTGTTAAGACGGGTTCGGCGACTGCGTGTTGGAGGCCCAGGCGCTGGTTCACTGCTGTCTATGTGATGGATTCACACCTGATCGACCAGACCGATGCGTGATATGCATGTGCGGTAAAAGTGACGGATCAATAGATGGAGAATTATAGGGTGACGCTGCTCATGCTGTTCACTTATGGTGTTGGTGTTAGTGGTTCCAGCGATTGGAGTACTATGGGCGGGATTGGCGATGGGTGTAGAGGGTATACTAGGTGCGACGGCAGCACAGTGAATTCCGCTGTCGGAGATACGCGTATGGCTGAATAGGCCCATGAGATGATTAACTATGCGAGGGTAGTCAGAACAGTGTAGGCGACGCTGTCTGCTGTGTAATGGTGCTCCAGCCGCTGGTTCATCAATATCTGTGCCATGGATTCTCATGTGACCGACTAGAACGACGCATGAGGTGAATGAACGGTCGCAATAGGAACAGGCCTTACTCGGGTCTCCATTGCTGGTGATGGAGGTGGTAGTGGTGTAGGTAGAAGGTGGCATTAAGAAGACTTTCTGCTTCATTGTGAAAACTCGCCCGTCCACATGGCGTTAACAAGTAAACGCTCGTGGCGAAAAGCGACACGTTAATCGTTTCTTATCCACGTAGTCGCCCGACCTAACCTCCAAAACTGCTTTTTGCCATGAATAAGGAAAACATAAAGAGAAAGGGTGTTCCACGCATGGAGGATATTAAGTTAAATCACTGGGTTTGCATAACACCATTAATTTTAGAGAATGTGAAAAACGTTTCAAGCATTGTAAAAACCACCCTAATAAATGCGTAGCATCTAAGGGACAGTGTTTTGAAGGAAATTAATAACGAAAATTAGATAAGTAGTTCGCATGTTTTGATATTTTCGCGTGTTTCATACCGAACACGTTTGAAAAATGAGTCAAAAGGTACAACATTTTAAATAACCTATCGTCCTTTATGAAGTAACTGCTGGATTGCGGGAACTGCTTCTCAGATAAGGCTTCAAATAAGTAATTTCCTTACTATCGAATTGGAGCTTAGTTCCGTCTGCAGTCAAATCGCTAACATAGGGTGTTATCTAAACAACACCTGTTGCCACTTTATTAATTATCCTGCATTTCTATGATCTACAAAGGCTATGATTACTAGCAGCTTTTGGTATGAGTCCAAAATAAAATGATAGAACTCGCAATGGTTTTAAGTACTAATGAACGATTAAAATGCGTTTACCTGTTATTTCTAGAAATGCGACTAGGGTTCCCGGACAGTTCCCAATGTATATATTAATCATCACAATATTACTCAAAAGAAACGTTGTGAACAGCGGATGTTACGCTTTATGCCAATGGAGTGTGCGTTAGTAAACCGCTCGCGCTAACTGAGGAAATTCAATTGTGCACAAATAATACGGAAAAGCCAATCGACAATACATCAGTGTAAAACTGGTTAGATGACAAATAAGAATGGATATTTCTGTTGTTCGTACACTTGTTAGCACATAATATTTCACTGAATTAATTCATTCGGCTACATAAACACTACCCAGCTTCTATTCCCGATTATTTGACGGTAAAGTGTGTGCTGGGAATTGAATGTTTGCGCACTTTCCTGAACAAGGCGTCCGTTTGGGAGCCCGTGAATAGCTGTGTGACCTTAACGCGAGGGTATTATGTCCATTTCTGTACAAACGATTGACCATTAGAGCAGCGAAATCGAGAGAGAGAAGAATCCTTTATCTAGAAGGGAATATTCTAAGTTTGCAGCAAAAAATGGTTCCATTTACTGAGAGCAAGGGTTAAGGTAAGTTAGGGGTCATGGTAAAAGTTCAACGGTAAAAGGACATAGAATACTCAAAATTAAAGTTTTACACGATATCTGCACCTACTATGGCGACAGGTCAGCTTTTAACTTCTAATTTTCCGCTTCTTCGCACGTGAGGTAGCGTGCTAGGAATGGGAGTACAGAGTGCTGATATGCCGATGTACGGCAAGAAATACGACAGAAGCCTCGGTGCATTGTACGGGAGGACTTTGCAGCTATTAGTTCAGAGTGGAGAGTGTGAGTAACCTTACTGCGAATGCGATCAGCAAATTACTTGACCGTTTTGAAGTAACGACAAATTTGCGCACGGTTTCTTCTAAGCCAACGAGGCCTTTGGTCGTCTGCCGGACCCTATGTGAAAAGTCCACGGTCTTAATCTCCACAGCAAGCTCAAGATGTATGCAGCCATTACCTTGATGATGCTGATGCATGGAGCGGAGTCCTGGATGGCTTATGCGGAATAGGCGCGGTGATTCAGCTACTTCCACCTCAGCTGTCTTTGAAGGTGCTCAAGCTGGACTTTGAGGATAAAGTTCCGGAAACCGACATTTGGGAACGGAGGAGGATCTTCAGCATCCACACCATGCTGAGCAACAATAAAAACACGTCGGATGCGAATGGGCGACATGCGACTACTTCAACGCCTCTTTTGTGCAGGTTTGACTAAATGTGCAGTAGTCGCCAATGACCATGTAACGTTCATTATGAAATTAGACCTGGTACTTTAGCGTATATTTAGTAACACT